TTTGCGTTCCCGGAGCACGGCGAGGAGCGCCGCGAGCTTGTGCTCGGGCCGGAGCACGACGTACTCGTTGAGTAGCTCCGGCGGCAGGACGCGCTTCTCGCCGGAGGCCTCGGCCCGCTGGACCCGGACTCGGACCGTCGCCGGATTCCGGAGCCCCGCGCGCGCGAGCTCCGCGACGGCGCGCGTCTGCGTCGCGGAGAAGAGCGCCGTGCGCCGCTGGCGCGGCAGGGCCCGCATGATGCGCTCGAGCTCCTCGGCGAAGCCGAGCTCGAGGAGCGTGTCGGCCTCGTCGAGCACGAGGACGGCGACGCGGCGGCCGTCCATCGCGCCCCGCTTCAGCAGGTCGTCGAGGCGGCCGGGCGTCGCCACGACGACGTCGTCGCGGACGGCCCGCTCCATGGCGGCGCCGCCGACGACGAGGGACGCCGCGAGCGCCTTGGCGGCGCAGAGCTTCCGGAGCACGGCGAACGTCTGCGTCGCGAGCTCCCGCGTCGGCGACACGCAGACGCAGCGCGGGCCCGGGCCGGGCTCGTTGGCCTTCGCGGCGGCGACGAGCTCGACGGCCGACGCGCCGAAGGCCAGCGTCTTCCCGGAGCCCGTGACGGCCTCGGCGACGACGTCCTTGTTGCCCAGCATGAGCGGGATCGACGCCGCCTGCACGGGCGTCATGACTTTGAAGCCGAAGTCGTCGGCGATGCAGGCCAGGGTCTCCGGCGAGAGGCCCGTCGCCGCGAAGGACCGCGGGTCCATTGGAGCGCCGGCACGCGGCACTACGGCCTTGGCTTCGGCCATCACTGGTTGCGAGTTGCAGTGGATACCCCGTCGCTTGAACTTTTGCAAGCCAAGACAAACTTTGAAGAAATCCTAGCTTCTAGAGGGCTAGAGACCGTGTCTCCGCAGGAGTATTTCAGCGGCCGATGATGGAATCTCCACCTTAGAGGGCCCCGCGCTCCTCGAATCTGCAGCGACGTGAAACGATCCCAGTGGCTTTGAGGTCCGCAAACATGCGGGTGAGGCACATGAAAAGACGCGACATCCGGACGATTGCGAGGCGACGCAAACGGGCAGCCTCAGGGGGTGGAATGAGGCGCGGCAGCTTCCCCCGACCCGATTTTCGGTCCCCTTCGAGTCACAGAGCGTCGGGAATCGTTCGTCATGGGGGCGACCAGATGCCCTCGCGGCAGCTCTTCGACTCGAGCCGATTTGATCGAGATTACCTCACCGGCTCCGAGAGGCGCGCGGCGCCGCGGGCGACACGGTGCTCACCGCGCAATGCATGAGGCGAGCTGTCTGGCGGAAATTCGAAGGTGGTCTCTGGCAGGGCATGCCGGGGGCGCATGCAAAAGTCCGCCAGACAGCTCGGACCTCAGCACTAATGCGAGCCCCTCGTCGGTCGCCCCCCACCGATAACGGCCGTTCTCGTCATCCACGGGCTGCCCCGACGCGAACTAAGTTGCTCGCCTTCGACCGATGGTCTTTCCCGAGGA